TAGCTATAGCTATAATTAATAGTATAAGTTAGTAGCTCACGGCTGTCAGATCTTTCATTGCGTGGTTCAAAATTCATATCACTATTTTACTTTTTATCTTTTTTCTATAAATAAGATTAATACGAAATTTTGGGTTTATATATCTAACTCTATTGTGCACCATATAAAAATATAAGACAATTACTTTGAATAATTTAAAAGGATCAAATTACCCCAATAATTTTTCAGGGGTATTTCGATCCGTTTATATTTTAGAAAATATTTTTTTGTTGTGCGCCCTATTTTTTTTTAATACACACATCCAAAATTTTGTCACGATCTGATTTCTAAAAAAAAGATTAAAATTCATATAGTAATATGAAAATTGAACCACACAATGAAGATATGATGGCTTTGAGCTATTAGTAATTTACCGTTTGTACAAAGAGGTAATAATCATTTTTGTTCCTTAAATTTCAAAAAGGGTGGTTATAAGAGTGTCATTAATTAGACACAAATGGTAAAGTTTATATAAAGTCAAGGCTCTAAACAATCAGATTAGAGCCCACGTCAAAAATTTCACTAGAAGAGGTTGTTTTAATGCTTAAATGTCTTTAAATTGATCATCTCGACATCAAGATGCATGGACATGAAATCGATCATCTCGACATCAAGATGCATGGACATGAAATCGATCATCTCGACATCAAGATGCATGGACATGAAATCGACGATCCGAATTGGGTATCGCTTAAGCTGTTCTAGATCCTAGAAAAACACGAGATTATCATTTTATTATGCAACATAACATCACGGTTCATTGGCCTTGTTGAGGTCACATAATTTATTGCATACGTCACCCCACTCCCCAACAACCATTTGATATTAATGTTGTTGCAACTTATTTTTATATGGCTTTTGCGTCTCACAAATGTGGGACAATTCTCATAGCCCAATTGTAACATTGAATGAGCATATAGATTAATACTTAGGTAGGGATGGTTGGGCCCTCAATAAGAGGGGTATGCACCCTACATTAAATTACATGATAAAAAAATAAATAAAATTATTAAAAATAATAATTGGGTGATAGGACCCTCCACCCTTATCTTTTACCAAAAAAATTTAAATTTACTTGCCGAAAAATCGAAATAAAGAGACTAATACTATTAGGCTATTATCTCATGGGATATTTTATTATATGATTAATATTAGACTATTAGCAAATTAGAATTAAAAAAATAGTACTAGCTTTTAGGATATTAATAAAACAAAAAATAATACTAATATTAGTTTATTAGATATTTAAAAAAATATTAGTTTATGGGATATTTTAAGAGAGAAAAATAACACTAACTTATACCACTTAAGAATTTATTTTTAAGTTACTTTATAAACTACCCCACATTGTAAGTATGAATTTATTTTTAAATTTTTATTAAAATATGATTGTAGATTTATATTTTAAAATTCTATATTTTGATCCACACTAATTATTATATATTGATTTGTTTATCTGTGAGAGTCATACCCATGTTTTTTCAATCACATTTATTATAATATTGTACTTAATAATTATACTAATTACAATGATAACCAAGTCTAATATTTTATTTATTAATTTATTTACATTATAAATTATACAATCTATTATTTTTTGTTATAGTTGTAAATTAGATTTTGTAAATTAGATGATATTATAAAACAAATTTCAAATTTATTCTTATTTATATAGTAAAATGATGATAAAATTAAAAACTACAAACCAATAATAAAAACTACAAACCAATAATTCTAATTTCAATGTATAATATTGTATTTAGTTAGGTTTTAATAAATGTTTGATAAGAATCTTCATACAGAGAAAGAACATCTTAATATTTACATATTGATGCAAAAAAAAAAATTTATTAATTTAGTACCCTCATTTATAATTGGATTTTTAAAAAACAACATTTATAATTATTTTTAATAAATTTTTTGAATTTTTTTAAGGTCGAATTCGACCAATTCCTGATCTGAAACGCCGATTCACCGATCTGGATGGGTTTTTGAAGTGCCCGATCCTGGGTACCGATCCGTTTTTTAAACCACTGGTATAATACCAATAGCCCATATTGAATATGAGCCTATCAGAAGGTCACGACTGCATTCATATTTGAATTTTAATGTTTTTTCTGCGAATCTAAATCACATAAAATTTAGGATGTCTACTATTTTCATCAAGGCATACATAATACAAATATTAAAGAAATTATTCACAAAAAATTAAAATGATTAAAGTACCCTAAAAAGTTTAAGGGTACTTTAGTATATTTAATTTTTGTGAATTATTTTTTTGATATTTTTATTTGATTCGCCTATTTTTTAATAATAGATCACAATCATTCCTTAAATTTTAAACTGGGTAGTTGTAAGAGTGTCTTAATAGAAACAAAGTTGCAAAAAAACTTCTTACACTTCGTGACTCACCCCAGGTCATCCAATTTGATATCTAATGAGTGGAAATGATTGTAACCTCAATGTGCAAAAGATAAATGGCCTCTATGTAGATAATCCCATATATATATATATATATATGAAGCATATATGCAATACCTATAGAAAAAAATGAACAGTATTTTTGCCCATAGGTGCATCGCCATCCGAAAAAATCGGGCGGCATGCTTTTTTCATTCTTCACGGATCTAATTGGTCCATGACAGTACCGTCACGGACATACTAGGTTCGTGGCGGTAAAAAAAATATGCAGAATCACAATGGGTCCGTTCAATGGACTGTCACGAACATATCAAGTCTGTGATGGCAGCGAAACGCTATTGCACTTCGCCTATAGGTGTATGGATATGGAAAAAAACAGATTTTAAATCCAAAAAATAGTACATCTTGCAACACGTTATCAAGAATTCATTTTCAAGATTTTTATGTGTTTTTAGATATGCTTGATTTGAACTATTTTTGGATATTAAAATGTTATAATTAAAGATGAAAATAGATTCTTGCGCCATCTGAAAAATTTTCAATACTAAAATTATATCTTATGACAAAGTTTAGAGGTGCACACTACTTTGATTGTATAACATGAAAATTTATTTTTGCATACGAAGTTTTTATTGTACTTACCTCGTTTGAATGCTTTGTTTCCATTTGTTGGGTTCCTTGTGCCTGTCTTAAAGCAGCTCAAATAGTATGAACTCACAGATCGAGGTATTATTTACACTATTGATCCTTTATTTCCTTGCCTTTACAATCTTTTAATTCTTGTTCCATCCTACTTATTTTTCTTACGAGAATCAATTAATATGGAAATTTCAGGAGCTTCAGCAGGAGATTAATAGAGCCCAATGTCAATTGGAGGATGCACAAAAAAAATTAAGGTACCCCTAACTGATAGATAACCAAATTATTAACCAAACTTTAATTGAATAGTAGTTATAGCAAAAAGCTTTTTATATCTTTATCTTTTTATTTTCAGCATTTTTCAGGGCGAACCCATCAATATAACTTCACAAGCAGAGGCAGAATACCATGAGCATATGCTTCTAGAAGCACTCGGTCGAGTGAACAATCGCAGAGTAAGATCTCAATATACATGACAAATTCATCAACCATTATTTGTTCCTTTTAGGCTGCTGAAAAAGGAATCTATTCTAAATTATATTTGTTCAAATTATGCAGAGAAATTCATCAACCATTATTTGTTCCTTTTAGGCTGCTGAAAAAGGAATCTATTCTAAATTATATTTGTTCAAATTATGCAGAGAGATTTGGAAGGAGTTCGGCTTGGACCACCAAACAACCCAACCAATTTACATGTAAATGTTTCTAAAGCAATAAATCTAAATAATAGAATAGCTGCCTTTTCTTTTATTTTCTTTTGCGTGTTATAAAATAGTAGCCTTTTATTCTATAATTGGGCTGATTTGCTTGATTCTTGAGGAAAAAAGAAAACGCGGACGTATTTTCATGGAGAGAGTTCAAATGCTAATGCGTACTTAGCAACTGATTCGAACAACACTTCAGATCAGTTTACACAGAGGTAAACAAACTCCCCACCTCAAAATGCCATGGATTTCAATTCCCTCCTCTCCCTGAGGGATTTTTTATAAATAATTGAGAAATAAATGTCTTGTTAAATAATAGAATTAGGAAAAACTTATGGCAAAGTACCGGTTCAAGATTGTTATTTAAAACGTCCATCTATTCTATATTGCCAAAAAAGATGTTCTACTCTCGAAGTAGAGTATCTTTTTACTCTCTCAAATAAAACCCCACCTAGAATTAACTTTTTGGACTTCAAATTTTAGAGATGTAGCCCTTCAACCGATAGATTAACAACCTCATTAGAAAAATAATAATTCTATTCGTACCTTTTGTGTGCTTGGAAAAAAAAAGTATCGAGATTGATTAGAGAGCATCCAATTTTTAGATGGTGAGAACTAAGTGTTAGAAAACACAAATTTCAATCTTTTTCTTTTATAATAACATCTAGTAATTTTTTAGTAGTTTCCAAAATCTCAGATTGCAAATATCCCCCCAAGTGGCTATTCTGACCTGAGAGTAGAAGCTTAAGTGCTCTTCTATATGCTATGTTGAAGTTTTGTATTATTCTTATTTATTTCGAAACTACCTCCTGTTTGGAACTTCAAGTGTAGAGCTGAAATATACTCTCAATATTTTTTTATATCAAAGCGATCCGGTTTCAAGTACCCGAAACCATTTTTCATGTCAAAGCTGGGTTAGATTGTGCTTAGAAAATGTGTGCCGGATCTAGAGATTGGACTTCCAAACCTAGCACACTTGCAAATTCTTTTTTGAAACATGATGGGTAAATAATGAACCGATCGCCATTCAATTTTTTTTGGTGAAATCATTGGTTCAAAGCTTGGAGTTCAAAAACCTACTATACTTTCAATTTTTGAAGAAATGGTGGCTTTACAACTTGAAGTTCCAAAACCAGCATTTCACGTCAAAAAAATTTGTATGCCCAGTTTGAAACTCCAATGTCTAGACCAACGCAATTTTTGTTTTGGGTGAGGAAGTTCCAGTATTAAAACTAGATTTCACTTGAAAAGTGGGTTCGGAACATGAGCTTTCGAATCTTTTTTCTAAAAAAAAAACATATAAAAGAAAACATTTTACAAAAAAACCCCAAGACTACACTTTCTAAACTTACCCCAATCTAACTTTTTTTCTCACATTTTCCCCCAAAATACAAATACCCCCAACCAAACAAAAAATCCTAAACTACCCTCCCTTAATTTTACCTTCCCCGGTCTCTCTTATTTATCCCACCAAAATAGGGGCTCCGACACTATGTACGTGTGGTCCAGCAGTAGGGCTCTGGCATTGTGTAAAGTACAGTCCGGCAGTAGGCTTCGACACTGTGTAAACTGCGGTCTGGCAGCATGGGTCCGGTACTATGTAAAATGCAGTGTCGCAGTTGCAAAGGGCGGTTCGACAGTAGATGTTATTGGATTCTAAGACTCCTGTACTATGTAAATGCTGGTCAGGTAGTACCCAATTTCGGTCCTGTAGTTGTCTTATGGCGGTCCGACAGTACTCAGTTTCGGTCCAGTAGTTATCACATGGCGGTCCGGCACTTGCGCGCTCTGACAATGTGATAGTGCGCTTCGGCAATATGCTTCTGGGTCTAAAAGTCAATGTCAAATCCAGCCAAAATGATTTTTATGTACGGGAAGCGCATTGCTGTCTAAAAAATTGAATTTTTTCCCTTGGGGGATATTTGCATAGAAAGTTTGTTTTGAGGAAAAAAGTGTGAAAAATAATTAAGTTGGGGTAAGTTGCATAGAAAGTGTGGTCTTGCGGGTTTTTTGTCATTCCGTAAAATAAAATCACTTCGAACTTGAAGGTCCAGATAGGGATATTTTTAGAAAAAATAAAAAAATCCAAAAAAAGTGAGACTTCAATGTAGAATATAAAATGAGAGTCGTTTTCTAAAATGTCAATCTTTTGCTATGACTTACTTATTATTTCCCTTAGAATAAAACATGAAGAACATAATAATGAGCACACAAAAAAAAGCGCTGCTCTTTTTTTTCTTTTTCATTTTTTCTTTTTTTTTTTTTGACAAGAGAATGGTATAAAATTTTCCGTGCAGGGATAATAAAGATGACCCAAAAAAAAAAAAAAAAGAGCATGCATGGTCTAGATAATCTTCTTCTAGTAACTGAAAAAATTTATTTACAGGAACCATCCACAATCAACTTCACACGGCTCATCTGTGTATTCTAATATGATGAATATTATTAGAATGAACCTGGCTGATCAGGTTCGGTTGAACAATGCGAACAATGCTGAAGCCGGTGAAAATTTTGCTGAAGTTGATAATGCAACATCTCGCCGCCCTGAAACTTATACTGCTGCAACACCTGCTATTCATCCTCCAGAGACATCAAGCCCAAATAAAATGAAGGGGGTAGGGTCTTTTATTGGACGCAATTCACCTGTTTCTATATACGGGTGGGAATGGCTCGAGTCGGTCCTGGTCGACGCCGACCCCACCTGACCTAACTAGTTATAAGTTGAACTTAGGCCTGACACGGCCCGGATTGGGTCGATTGGATCGGTTGTCCAGGTCTATAAATAAGAAAAATATAAAAATATTATATAAATATGTTTTATAAAACACCCTTTATTTTAAGGAAAAAGTTTATATATAGCCGAGGCTCTAAACAATCAAATTAGAGCGCACCGCATAATTTTCATTAAAAAAAGTTGTTTTGATGCCCAAAATCCTCAAATTGATCAATCAAGATGTATGGGTATGAGAAAAAAAATAGATTTCAAGATTTGGAAATAGTGCACCTTGCAATGCATTGTTTTGACCGTCAATTTTAAGATTTTTCTAGTTTTCGTAGATCCGCTCGATCTATACAATTTTTAAGCTTGAACTTTTATAGTTAGAGATTAAAATATATTTTAAGGCTTTAACAAAGATTTCCAGCAATGCAACCTTGTCGACACTATTTGAAGGTGCGCTTCACTCTCATTGTTTAGAGCAAACCACATCCTTATTTTATTATGTATTTATAGTAGTATACACTTAGCCAGGCCAGCTCGTTAACCGCAAACCATACCTAACCTGACTTGATAAGTTCTAAACTAGACCTGGTCTCTCAAGGTCAAATGGACCCAGACCTGACCCATTGGGTCCAAAAAAATTTAGGTCCAGACTCGGACCTTGTCAGGTTGACCCGTCGAGTCCAAAATTAAGATCCCGACTCAGATCCTAACCTAGTCAAGTCAATCCGTCGCCACAAGTCGCATACAAATGGATAAACTGGGGTACCATATGTTAACTTTGTTCATTCAATAAAACTAGGAAAATTTAGAAAAATGATATTGGAAATAAATTACTTAATATTTTAACTATATCATTTAATCTAATTTCAAAGATATGACAAAAATACATATGCCTAGTTGAGAATGAGTAAAATGTTTAATAGTTGATAAGTTAATTTTTTTTTATAAATTTGAAATGGGAAAATGTGGACAAGTTATTTTATTCATTGGGGATTGTGTAAGCTACGACTATTTATATATAGTACAAGAAGGTTACAACCATACCTAGTTGTCAGATGTGGAATCGAGTGAGTGTGTGTTGGCCACTTTTTTCATGAGGTCAAATATTTCTCAAATAATTGAGGGTGGTCCATTGCGCACTCTTTGCCTCTGACATTTGACAACTAAGAGTATGATTGTGCCACTTCTTGCACAAAAAGTAAATAATCTTATTCTATACCATCCCTATTCACTGTTATATTCTTGTAGTATTCTATCTTGAAAGATTTGAATTCTCACAAACTATGTTTTTCCTTTTTATGGTTAATTAATTCCACAAAGTGCTGGTTACATGATTTCTTGTTTGGATGACATGAAAACTACTTTGACAGGTATTTGGAGATTATAACGCTGGTTCATCAATCAAAAATCGAGAGGATTAGATCTCACAGATGTGCTTATGTTAGTAAGCAAAGTCATATTGGCATCCGTATTTTGTTTTTATTCATGATTTTGGATGAGTTACATCCAAGAAAGACCAGCAAGTTTTCTTCCTTTCTATTATCATCAATTACTAGTATGAGTTTAGTATCGGCCCATTTGAATGCAATAATTATCGTTTACAATTCACTATTTCAATAAAATTAATCCGGATAATGAATCATCTATTGTTTTTTAGTGTTTATCATAAAATTATCTGAGTTAAAGTTACGGACACAAAAAGATGTTATTTGGGGAAGTTACGGCTTCTATACTAATTCATGGAAGCCACAGCTTCCAAAGAGCAACGGGCTTTCGCACCCTCCTATTCCCATAAAACACATGCTACATTTTTGTTATTAAAAAGCTAGTTTAAAAGAATCAAAATATAGTGTTTTAGTTGGAGAGAACGTAGTACATTATTTGCCTCAAGGAATAGAGAATAACAAGTCATGCTTAAATATGAGAATGCACTCATTCTTGCTATCCTAATAACCAATGCATATACAAAACACACAAAAGGTGTGCAACGACACAATGGTACATGTGGAATCAATTGAAGTGTGAACTATGCCTACAATATGATGCCCCTCTCTCTCTCTTTAGATCTATTGCGTGGACAGCTTAATAACAAAATCCAAACTCAAACATAAGCAAGTGCATTAGTTTGCATCAATCTTAAAAAAAATAAATCCGTGATCCCGGATCGTCCATCCCGAGAACCAGTCTAGAGCAGTGGATCAGCTGAATCCACCCTCTCTAGCCTTATAAATAACTTTCAAAGAGGTATTGAAAATCATCATCATGATGTTTTTCGGGTTTTTATGAAAAATGGGTGTACTGCACTATGAATTTTTTATCTTTTAAAAATATGTGAATATTGATATGTTGTTTCTTGTTTTGAAAGTCTATCTACAATTGAATATTTTATACAAATTCCCATTGAAGATAAGGTAGCCAGTAATCGTAGGACATCTCTCACACACACACAAAAACATCTCTCTTAGACCATGCAAATACATATGAACATCTCTCTTTCTCTCTCTCACACATACACAACACATTGGATCTTTCTCTCTCTTACACATTGGATCTCTCTCTCATATATGCACAAAAAAATATTGGACATCTATTTCTCTTTCACAAACATATTGGACCACTCTTTCTCTCTCACACACAAACAAAAAGAAATTAAAAAGAAATTTCCCGATCCGGAAAGAAGATCCTAAGCAAACTGGACATGCCAACTCTTACTTGAAGAAAAAACAAACAGTTGAGAAGAACTTCTAATCATATCCTAAAACCATGACTTCAATTTCAATTGTAGGTGTTGATTTTTTTTTACCTTAAATATTTTCTTCTTTAGTTGTTGACCATTAGATCAATTCATCATATGAATCCTGACTAAAATAGTGTATGAAAACTGGTTTAAGGACGGTCAATACCTTTGTCTTTCTAATAAATTTGGAACAATTTTAGCCGGTTTTTTGTCTTTTTATTTTAAAAAGTTATTTATTACTCCTAGTTTTTTTAGATCGAAACAGACCATTTTTTTAAAAAAAAAATTCTTTGTCGACTATCTCTCTTTCTTTTTCTTTTTCTTTTTTTTTTTAACTATTGGTTTATTTGAATTACTTATGGGTTGCACAAAAATTCTACAGAGGAATCATTTTCATGGCCCAACATTTCAGTGATTTTTTTCGGATAGAGTGGTTTAAAAAGCTGAAATAAACCAAAAATTATTAATAAGTTCTCATTAAACTCGTTAAAACATGATTTTCTCTTATCAATTTTCTCTCTCTACATCTCTGATTTTTTACCAACCTTTTTTTTTGTTTTTTCAAATATTTGGGCACGAATACAGGGCCCTACCCGTTTTAAAAATAGTGAGTTATTGTCAAATGCGTCCCTGACATGTAGCAGAGGCTCATGTAGTGCTACCACCTTGACCTCAACCCCATTCCCAAGACTCATGAATGATAGATTTTCCATAGGGGTGGAGAGGTTGGCCACCCCTCTTCAATTAAAATGTTTTAAGAAGTCTTCTATCTCTTCATGAAAGCAATATCAGAAACCACTACTCAAGGCCGAGTAATACTTGGATCGAGTCCGAGTAACTCGGGCCAAGTAGTGCGGAGTACTGTAGTAACAAATAAATGGTTAAAAATTATAAAAAGTACAAAAAAATCCAAAAAAAAAAGAAGAAAATAAGTGTTTAAAGTAAGATTAAGTAAAATACATCATAATGAGGTTAACTTGCCCAAAAGGAAATCATAATGAGGTTAAAAAACTAGCAAAATAAATAAATTTAAAAAAATCATCTTGTGACTGGGTAATTTAGAAAAAATCTAAAAAGATAGGAAAAATGTAAACATAAGTATTTATGGCTAAACACTTTCCAATCTTTGCCATAATGATAGAAAACATTAAAAAATATATATCCAAATAAATTCCTTATTTTTAAGATTTTTTAGGATTTTTTTTTTTTTTTAATATCCCCAACTAGAGTAACTCGGTACTCGGTCGACTTTGCGAACATTGTCAAAAAGTATTAACTAGCCCAAGAGAAACAAAGTACTATATGCAAATTGGTGAATTGCTTGGATTGAGAGATCATACTGTGTTCACTGTATTTTGGCTTGAGATTGCTGGAGGGTGAATCGTAGATGCTCCAGTGGTGTAAGCTACAATTTTTTTTTGGGTAAGTGAGTGGGGGAGAAGGCCCCCGACCCACTTTTCATTAATAAAATAAGATGGATTATAGCTCACTATTTTACAACCTTAGGACAGTGTGCAACATCAAGAAGTAAAAAAAGAGAAAGACAATTAGGAGGTCTAGAATATCAAATTGTTCATCTAAAAAAATTGTAGCCTTTTTAGCAAGTACATCAACCACCATGTTAGCCTCTCAAAAAATATAACAACTCGAAGTTGGTGAGTTTATATTGGTAAATAACAGCTATTATGTGAATGGCCCTTGAGATGTTGCAGTTTCAACTTTAACAAACTCTTCATTTGTCGCCACTCAATTGCTCTCATCATTCAAACTAACTTGATCAGTAAGGTTCAATGCATTAGCGTTCATCATTAAAGAACTCACGGATGAATCGGATAAGCAATCTGCATTTGATTGTGGATGTTCCCTGTGAATCAAAATTTTCTAATTATTGGAAAGCTCCTACTTTCTTTTTGGTACATTTATTCATTCATCATCTAGAGATGGCCATAGTTATGCCTACCCAATAATTTGTTCTTTTCTTTTTTCAATGTTGTTTTGCTAGTCATTTATTTCTCAACTAATTATGAAAAATAACTTATGAAGATCTGGGAGGTGGAATCCATGAAAATTTGAAGTAGGGAGCGTGTTTTCCTCTGTGAGAGCCAATCCGAAATTTGAACCGAATCGCACTCACCAGAATTTGAACTCTCTCCATGATAATATCTGCATAATTTTTTTATAACACAAAGGTCAATCAAGTCAAGCCAATCTTAGAAGAAAAGGTTTCTATTTTGAGAAAATTTGCTTGAGAAGAAATCTTTTATATGTAAATTCGTTGGGTTGTAAAGTCCAATCCCACTTTCTTCCAATTCATGCTGCATCAGACAAACAAATAGAGCTTAGAATATATATATATTGAAATGATATAACTTTGAAGGCAACAAATTTCATCCAGCATAAAAAGAACAAAAAATGATTGAATAATTTGCTATGTATATTGAGATCTTACTTTGCGATTGTTTAGTTGACTGAGTGTATCTTGAAGGATATGTTCATAGTATTCTGCTTCTGACAGTGATGTGATCCTTATGGGTTCACCTTCGAAAATCCTGATAGTGATGATAAAGATGTGAAATATTCATTTGCTTTAGTTGCTATTTAAATATAGTTTGGAAATAAGTTATCTTTCCACCAGTGAGAAAGGGGTACCTTAGTTTTCTCTCAGCATCCTCCAATTCATGTTGGACCCTAATAATCTCTTGTTAAATCTTCTAAAATTTCCAGAGGAGTTGAATCTCATAAGAAAAAAAAAGATGGATGGAACAAGAATCACAAGATTGTAAAAGAAGGAAAATGAAATATCAATTGTGAGGGGCTTGCATGTAATAAGATTGTTTGTCTTTGTATACAGTGGAGACCGCAGAATTTACAAAAAGATCTCAATCAAATATTTGATTGAAAATAATGGTCGCACATCAAGCCAAGCTTCATAGCTCTCTAATTTTACCATGATTCTCCAAAGAAACAATATTCAACTCTGCTTTAAAATCCTACAATGCCCTCTATTTTATACCTAAAAACTTAACTCTCAATGAATACTAATTCTAGCATTGAGAAAACAAATAAAAATTTACAAAATTTACCAAAAGTTTGAACTATTTAACACCTTAACTTTGGTTTATTTCCATAAATTTTAAAACTCATCTTAGATGTGTTTGTTTGATGTCTATATGAAATTTGACAAAAAGAATAATGGGCTATTTGAAATTAGATTAAAAACCTATGGGTAAGTTGTTAAATAATTCTAATTATAGGTTTAGTTTTACCAAATTTTCTTAAAATATGTAATTCCATGGAGACATAAATTATAATTTTCGAAACTGCCACTAATAAGAAAAATCTTATAATCCCTAAAAATTTCAAAGCTACTAAAATAAAACTTAAAAAATACAAAATATAACCCTAAAATTTAATTTAAAATTTAATAATATCAGGCATTGTTTCATGCATCATTTTGGTGCAAAAAATATTGGAATGACCCCTAGCCATTACATTCGAAATCAGGTGAATAAGGATGTATCACAAAGTTCAATAAAAGTTTTTTTTGGACATTGTACAAAGTGAATAAGACATCCCTAATCCGATTTAACATCTAATGATTAAGAGTAATTGTAGCATTGTTACACAAAAAGAAGCAACCAAGTTCTTCTATGTAAATAAGTTGTGAGCGTACATCGATGCATTGGTCCGGATTAATTGAGATTCTTTAAGAAAATCAACAAGGAAGCCACTATGGGAAATACAACAAAACAATAGGCATAAGGACAATACCTCGATGAGTTTGTAGTACCTGGATTTATATGTAAGGCATAAGGACACCGTGCCACAGCATTGTGTGTGGGAACCCCAACTAACCTACACCAAGTAAAAATGATCTTAGTGAAGGAATCATAAAATAAATAGAAATAAAATAGTCTGCCATTGTGATATAGATTTCATTTATCATTCTAATATGATGTAAATCCAAAAAAAATAGCACATGTACCAATTTATCCACACACATATACAATAATTATTTTCAAAATATATAACAAAATATTCTTACTAAAAAGGGACTAATATAGTTTTCTACATATAAGTGGAATGCCTTGATTCTACTGAAAGAAATTGAAATATTAAACATAGGTAATGTAGCACAGATATAAGACTAGAACGATTGGGATAAAATTGATATTTCAAATATGAATTTTAGAGACTTTCTTTTATTCGAAAGTTATTATTTCTATAATTTTGAAAAAAAACAATATGTAAGGCATGGGATTAAAAACACAGTGATGGAAGAGACAGATTGAAAGATTTAGAATGAAACAGAGGGAACAAAAAAAAAAGTTAATGAGGATCCAAGTGAGTTGACGAGTAAAATATCATAAATGAAAAAATCAGTTAAATACATTCGGAAAGGTCGAGAGAGAAACAAAGGAAGTTGAAGAAGGTGAAGAAGAGGGAGGTGTGTTTCAATTTCCATATGATTATGCTGCCATTCAACTTGCGATTGATGTTGTGGTGAAGGTTTTCACTGTTTCCAATAGCCCCAATTACTTCTTTCCATGGCAAAACAAGTCTCGAAGAGAAACCTAGATAAGGACTGTCGAACATGAACGAGTCTCAGATCTGCTCAACCAAACGCACCTCTCTCTCACAAATGCACATCAAAAAAATTTTTGGGTGCATTTGTTTGAGAGATATCGAACGTGTTGTCCTCTGTATCATCTTCATTAGGGCATTGTTTCATGCGGACTGCAAAGGTTATCTCTCTCTAAACCATAGCTCTGCCAAAGGTTTTATTTTTCGCTTTTCTCTACTCTGGCCCCCTCTAGATCGAGCAACAGTGCTCACCTGGCTTGCCACTATACACGCACAGAAGGACTCAATACTCGGTTGTTTTTTATTTATGATAGGAGATTTGAGAGAGAGAGATATGGTGATTAGAGAAAGATGGAGTTTGGATATGGTGTTATTTTAGTGTTTGTTTGGGTCAAAATTTTATGGCCAAAGGGGTCGAGAGGTTATAAGATAGAAAAGACAATAAGTTTTTGCTTATAAATAATATTTTCAATTCTTGGTCTCGTAAGATATAAAAGTTAAAAACAAGAGATAAAAGGGTATTTTCCCTTAGTTAATTCATGATCTTTTTGTCATCTATAATTCGATGAGGTTAGGGAATAACTAATAAGTGTTGTTGGTGATGATTACTGAGTAAATGTGACCCCATAAAGAAGAAGATAATAAAATTCATTATAGTTTAAGTGAAGAAAGAAACCAACCGTAGGCATACTGCAACTGGAAGTTATCATGTAATGCAGAAGGTATGATTATTTAGAGAACTTTGCATAATGAATATTTTTAAACATACAAAAGGGGTGCTTAAACACCATGTTTGTTTTTGAAGAAGTAATATTTAGGCAAAACTAATTACTTGGGAGCAAATAATAATGCAGATGTTTGTGATGTTCATAATCAATATTTAAATGATGTTAGCAAGTTGGGGATCTTAAAAAAAAATTAAATTAAATTAAATGTAGCTTTGTGAAAATAACTGTATGACAGTAATAAAACTCAAACTAAAGCTCTACATAGCATCCTAAACCCCTCAAGTCATTAGACATATTTATTTCTGCAGTTGACTTATTCATAAACAATCATCCTTGAAGACTTTTAATAGTTAATAAAAATCCTTAAAATAATCTAAATTACAACCCATCATGAATATTTAAGAAAAGGACAAAAAATTAATAAATTCAAGTTAAATAAAAAAAAGAAATAGCTTATAGGCCTTAAACAATCAAATAGAGTTGATTTCACTAGAAGAGGTGATTTCGATGTCGAAAACCCCTCAAATTGATCATCTTGAGAATTATAGGTGTAAAAAAAATGGATTTACGTTTCGGAAAATAGTATATCTTGTAAATACATTATTTGGGCTGCCCATTTTTTAATATTTTCAAATATCTATAGATCTATTCAATCTACATTATTTTTTAAGCTTTAAATTTTATAATTAGAGATAAAAATAAATTTTTAGGCCATCACAAATATTTTTATTCTAACATTTTGAGCTCAATCTAAGTATTAGATTTCAAAGACATCATCACTAATTAGCAACCCACGGCAACCAACTGTGGCTTCTCATTAGACAGGCTTGTTTCAACTTGTATGAAATTTTTTCACTGCTAAGATAATGGTAAGTTATACTATATGTTTGTTTACTTAGCCATCTTATACCATCTTAGAGAAACACTCGCTCGAGTGAGAAATCGCAAAGTAAATCCAAATACCAAATTCATTAAACATTATTTGTTTTCTCATGCAGCAGGAATTTGTTGTTTTCTAAGTTACATTTAATCCCAAAATGAATCTATCTAACGATATTTATTTGTTTTATGCAGCAAGAATTGGAAAGAATTCGGTTTACAGGCAACAACCCAATTAATTTACAGGTAAAAAGTTGTTTTTCAAGCAATAATTTGTAAAATAAAATAATATCTTTACTTCTATGATTGGCCTAACTTATTTCTAGGTAAAATAGAAGAAAAAAATGCAGACGCATTCTCATGTATAGAGCTCAAATGCTGGTGGGTCACTTGCAAATGATGCAACTCACAATACAGATCGGTTCTTGTTGAGGTAATCACAGGCCCCACTTTATCTACACCCTCAAGCATAAGACCTATTTGGGAGGATTTTTTTAATTTAAAATTTTTGGAATCACTTAGATCTCACTCTTAAAAAAATAGGTTGGTCTCAGACATACAGTGAGCAATCTGGCATCTAGAACGGAAGACTGCCAAGGCTATGAAAGTTTTAAGTGGGCCTAACCGTCCGATATTCTAAACATCAGACAACCATATAGAATAGTTTGATGTTTTGAACATCAAACCAATTGGTCTACAAAAATTTTAAGCTTGCCTAGCAATCCGATGTTACAAATATCAAGCCACTTAAAACTTTAATAAATTTTGAAACCTGAAGTGGTCCAATATTAGCTACATCAAACAATGTCAAAGTGAAGTTTAGGGCTGCCCGATGTTCAACTAATATACCACCAAACCATCAGACAGCCTTACATCTCACAAAAATGAAAAAATTTAAAATGAAAAAGAAGTCTAATGTTGCCAACATCGATTTTTTTTTATTCGGTGAGGAGGTGGTAGGGGTAGAATTAGAAAAATAAAAATTAAAAAGGGCGCAGTGCTAAACCTCAGCATAAAATACTTAAAAATATAGAGAGCATATGCAAATAAAAGAGAAGTTTGAGCTCGACGAGTCATTAAATTGACAAAACTAACCTATTTTATACTTCCCACCCCGTAGAATACATACACAAGAGAGAGACCACTAACCCTAATACAGACGATCTCATAAACCTTTCGTAGTTGAGGAAGCATACTAATGTAGGAAAAAGGGCAAAAAGAAAATAAATTAAACCACAAAAATAAATATAAAAATGGTGTGGCTTGTATAAGGTTGAGACCTTAAACAATCTAAGTCAGGTGCACCTTTAAATTTTTTCATAAAATGTAATTTTTGATAAAAAAAATCTTAGAATAGCCTTATCATCTATTTTCATCTCCAATTATGAATTTTTAAACTCCAAAATCATTCAAATCAAGTAGATCTATAAAAACATGAAAATCTTGAAAATGGACAGTCTAAAAAAATTGTTGCAAGATGTCCTATTTTTAGACATAAAATCTTTATTTTTTCGCATATTCACACATCTCGAAATCAAGATGATAAATTAGAGCGTTTTCTAACACCAAAAACAACCTTTCCAAAAGATTTTTGAGGTGCACCTTAATTCTACATTTTAAGGTTGTGACCTTATGTAAACTTTTTCCATATACATAAGGTCAGAGTGTATGCTTTTTCTCTAAATTTAAAGGTATCTATTCAAAAATATATCTTTTCACAATAGCCAAAAATCAAGTTTTCTTTCTTCGATATCGTGTTGTGGTCCAATACATATTTAGGAAAGCTCTCAATCTTGACTTCCTATAAGGAACCCTTCCTTTTCTAATGTGAACTTAAAACACAGATTGCTTTGTAATCAGAAATAACATAGAGGCGTAAGGAAGAGACTTATTGTAACACTATTCTCTATTGCCAGTAAAGAAACTATCATCTCTCGTGGATGTAGGCACGTTGCCGAACAACATATATCTTTGCGTTATGGTTGGTTGCCTCTTTCTTTTGTGTATGTTTCTTCCTTTTTATTTTCGCAGATTGTTTTTCATTTCTACATGTATTCCCCACTGAATTACCCAAAAAAAAAAGAGATCGCGATTTGGATCTTAAGCTTTACATGTTGATAATCGCAACCACTACAATCATAAATTTAAGAAAGAACAAATTCTAAAATTCAAAATCAGATATTTCTAAACTTTACTTTTGGACCACTCATTCTGGTTCTTTTAAAATAATATATTCTATATTTAAGTTCAATTTTTTTTCTTTTCAATTTTACGATCATCGTGGTTGAGTTTAGTGGAAGGCGATCAAATTCGCCTGGAAGTACATTTTAAATTATTCACTTGTTTTTCTTCGAAGAAAAAGGGTACAATGTGAAGTTCAAAAAAGATTTGATTTTGTTAGGACTTCAAAAGTTAAAATTGACGTACATCTTTGGCTACCGTCAAACATGAAGCCTCTTTCAAGTTCTCCATAAAAATGGTTGTTGAGTGTTATAATGAGCTATCAATCTTTTAATTTTTGATTTATTGTTTAACTAATTTCTTCTTGTAGGGAGTGTGGGGTTCTCGGGAACCTTTCGCTTGTGGAACCGGGAATCTGAAATGCCAAGATCCTACTCAAGATCGTATAAATTATTGGTTAAATGCAAATTAGACAAATATAACTATAAATCCAGTGCGAAAAATAAAAAAAATATAAAAAAGCACCCCACCACAACACACAATTTACATGGTTCACCCTGTAGGGTTACATCCACGATCTCGGCAAGTAGAAGTCATTTATCTCAATGGAGATCACAATTTTGAGTTACAATAGATAATACCTCTATTTAAACATCGGTAAAAAAACCCTCACTAAAATTTCCTTTTAAACTCGTACTCCTGACCGAGCAACACCATCGAACAACATCTTTCCCACTGTTATACCACTATCGGAAAGAGTACCTTATGAGCAACCAAGAGACTTTCTCTCTCTAGTAGTAAAAACTTAACTAACCCAAAATCCCATGACAAATTTAAGGGATAAGAATGACTGTGACCATATCTCTTGAAGGTCATGTCTATCTCTTTTGTAGAACCATCTCCATCTTGGAGATCCCTTCTCATGACCCCAAAAGAGGTGACTTTCAAAAGGATGTGTATTATGTCTTCATTAGCCCTCTTTTATAGAGACCATTTGGGCTTCTTACTTGTTCACCAAGGAATCCGCTCTTTTTTTCTATAATACCTTAATATTTTTAATAATATATAGGTGTGATGATTTTGACTATCACAAACTCTAACAAGGTGGGCTTTTTATATAAAAATTGGTGTTCTCTTCTTTACCCTTTCCTTTTTCTACTTATATTTGTTTGTTTTGGATGAATTGTGTTTGCTTGTTTGTTTCTGTCTATTTTATGGTTAGACCTCATTCGAGCACATAGAGGGAAGGAGTATTGCTTCCCAATAGTTAGACCCAAGAATTGTGAGAGAACCACTCAGCAAAAGTTAGAGAGAGAGTTGATAACAGAGATAGAGTTGGAAAGCCCCTCTTTCGGCATCTTCATTGATATGAGTGGGTTGTAATGAGTTGGAAAGCCCTCCCTCTCTCTCTCTATCTCAGAGCTGGAGCCAAGCAACTTTGTTTTTCTTGCATAATGGATTAATATTTGTAATTAATGTATACAGAAAAGGGGAAATTTTGTTGGGCTTCCTTGGACCCGATTCATTGAAAAAATATATATACAACAAAAGAAACGTCGTCATTTTTTTTTTTTGTAGCTAATACAAGCATAGTTGCTAGTGATCTAATCCTCCTTGTTTTGATTCGACAAAGAGACTCTCCAATTCCTTCTAATTTTGAGCCGACGAACTAGAGCCTCCAATTCCCTGTCCCCATGCCATCCAAATAAGATCAAATATTAATGGTATTTTTTAAAATAAATTAACCAAACCGGAGAACACGATATGTGAGAAGTCAAATGTTTCAGGAGTGACTAGATGTGTAGGTGTTAAAATGAATTACCTTTAGCACAAGAAATCACAATTACTCTTAGTCATTAAACGTTAAAGGGGAGGTTGAGGAGTGTGTCATTCATCACCCTCAATGATTAATTTTTTTTAAAACTTTATGTAAAACAATGGCACACTCATGCCTGCCCGGTTCCACTTTTGACTGCTAGGGGAGCTGTGACCTTTTTTATGCCACAGTGTATGTGTATGCATGTACCGTAAATCATTTAAAATAAAATATTTTAATATTTAATTTCAATTTTTTTCCCCTGAATTCACTATCATAGTGGTTGAGATTTTTTTCAAAATATAATTTGAAAAAACTGTAAAGAAATCCTCTATGTGAACCTAAAAATATTGACTGACCCAAGGGAAGCTAACTACCGCATAGAAATACATGAATTTCATGGAATGAAAGGCCATACCGGGTTCATTTTATTTGGGCTTCACATTGTGAGAGGATGAATAGCAAGTGTTGTGGCAGTGCAAGTTTCAGGCTCCTGAGATGTTGTAGTCTCAACTTGAGCAAACTCATCGTCCACTTCCACTCGATTGCTCTCATTGTTTAACCCAACTTGATCAGCAAGGTTCAATGCATTTACATTTATAATTAAAGAATCCACAGATAAATTGGGTAAGCATTCAACCATTGGATGTGGATGATCCCTGTAAATTCAAATTTTCTAAGTAGTGGAAGAAAATTATTAGGGTAATACTTTTTTTTGGTATGTTTATTCATTCATCATGGAGAGATGGCCATGGTGGTGATTACCCATTAATTCGTTCTATATTTTTTAGCCAATCATTTATTTCTCAACTATCTATGAAAATTACCTCAAGGAGAGCCGGGAGTTGGAATCCATAAAATTCTGAAGTGGGGAGAGTATTTCTCTTGGCGATAACCAATCCGTAATATGAGTTGAATCAGTTTCTAGGAGTGCATGAGCATTTGAACTCTCTCCATGAAAATATGTCTGCAGTTTTTTTTAATACCACAAGGGTCAAGAAAATCAGCCCAAAATAGAAGAAAATGTCTCTATTTGATTTTTGACAATTTTTGTTCGAGAAAAAAAAGTACATGTGAATTTGTTGGGTTGTGAGGTCCAACGCTAGGTCCTTCCAATTCATGCTGCATAAGGCAAACAAATATAGCTTAGATTTTATTCTTTGTAAAATAATATTACTTGAAGGCAACAACATAAAAAGAACAAAGAATGGTAGAATAAGTTTCTATGTTTTTAAAGATCTTACTTTGCGATTGATTAACCTCTCGAATGTATCTTCAAGGATACGTTCATAGTGTTCTGCCTCTGCTAGTGATGTGATCCTAATAGGTTCGCCTTCAAAAATCCTAAAAGCAAAGATAAAGATGTGAAAATATTATTTACTTTGGTTGCTATTCAAATATAATTTGGTTAATGATCAATTTACTCATTAGTAAGAAACGGGCACCTTAATTTTCTCTCTGCATCCAACAGTTGATATTGGACCCTATTAATCTCTTCTTGAAGCTCCTGAGATTTCAGAATTAATTCTACTATAACCGGAACTTCTAATTAAACAATATTCGCGATAACAATTTTACCCTTAAGAAATTAAGTACAATTTATCAAAACACACCTAAAGTTTGAAGTATTTAACATTTACCTTATGTGTATTTTCAAAAAAATTGAAATTCATTTTGATGTGTGATTTGATGGACTATTTCAGAGATAATAAAAACAGTGAGGAGCTAGTTGAAATTAGATAAAAAAAAATATGGGCAAGACACTAATCAGTTCAAAATTATAAGTGCATTTTGATTAAATTTCCTTAGTATAAATAACTCCATAAAGATGCATCACTGTTCTGCAAGAATATCAGCATCACTGCTAACCATTAGATTTGAAACCAAAAGGCTACGGATGTCTCGCAAAGTTTACAAAAAAAAAAAAAATCTTTGAATTTGTGCTAGACCAATGCCACACCCCTCGTCCGATTCAACATCTAGTGATTCGGAGTAATCATGACCTTCTTATATCAAAAATAGACAATCTTATTATATATTTTCCAATAAATAAGTTGTGAGCATACCTTGATGCGTGGGTCAAAACTGTTTGAGATGTTCCAAGACAATCCATAAAGAACCCAACATAGGAAAACAAAACAAAAGATTTAAAAGAGAGAAGCACAAATAAAGCCTTTCATATACAAACGTGAATTCGCATGCATGTGTGTAAGAGAGAGATACCCGCTTAATTGAGAGGCTAAATCGTCTTCAGACCTCAACTTCATGAGATCTTCTATGAAACTCTGTTTTGTAAAGACAATCATATCATAAAAATTATAGTAAGTCTGAATCAAAACGTGAATAGAATCACAAATTTGAATACACATAAGCACAAGAGAGAGCAGGCACTTACTTCTTCATTTTGAAGCCTTTAGACGTTGCATATCAAACATAAATGGCAGAGCAAAGGTACTCAATTAAGAATAAACCACAAAATAAACATAAAAACTTAATACAAGGGGAAAAACGAAAACCATTAAATTTTAAACTTTTACCTTCCTCGTACATGCACAGGAAGGTTTATATATTGTTCAAAAACTTGCTCAATCCTGTAAAAAAACACAAATAACACAGACAAAAACAACAAAATATAAGACAGCTGATCAAGCTAGATGAATACCTCAAAGTAAACAAGGTAAGTTTAGTAACCTCTTTTTCCCAGAGAAAAAGCACGGCTTGTTATTTTCAGAGAATATGATAATAGCGATATTGATATCACAGAGAACAGAGAGCTCATATGCCTTCTTGAGGAGGCCATTCCTCCTCTTAGAATAGCTCACTTGCCTGTTAGTCTTGTTCTCTATCTTTTCAATTGGAAGCTTTCTTCGCCCCATATTCTCCTTGCTGATACAAGTTGTATCAAAGAAATGAGAAATTCAGGCTATAGGCTATAGAGCTGGGTGTTTCTTCTCTTTGAGTAAAAAAAATAAGGTAGAAAAGAGAGAGAGAGAAACAAGAGAAAGAAGAAGCTGAGCTTATTATCAAACGTTGCCGACATGGCTGGCATATATAGTGAAAAGGAATCAAGTGTAAAAATGAAATTTTCTTAGGTTTATTTGTCCACTTTGGAAAAAAAGAGGTTGGATGGTGTTAGTCAGGTTCAATGCATGTTTTATCTTTGTCTAGGTCATTAGTTAACTGTGTTTTTAAGCTTCAAAGAGGTGATGCTTCCTCTCAAATGAAAAAAAGAAAATGGCCATAACAACTCCTAAAATGACACATTTTCATAATGCCCTTTTGGTTGTTCATTGAGCATCATAGGCATCAGTATAGTAAAATAAATTAAAGAATTAATATAATTAATAAAGATTGAAAATGTAATTTGATGACATTAAGTTGAGACACATCCTATCTGTCCATTCAGTTAGGATGCGTGGAGATTCAATTGAGCTACATTTTTTATGGATACCGAGCAATCGTCAACTCGATAACTTTACATGTTCCCACTCGTAAAAATCTTGAATCTCCAGTGAACATGTAGATCCTTGTTTCATCTTAACAAAAATATGGATAATATGCATTTTGGAGCAGCATTCTCATACAAAAATTCCATTACAAAACATCCTACTTTGTAAGCTTGCCAAGAGAGCAAAGTAGTTAGCATAATGTTTTTTTCCGCTCATTGATCTTTCCGTTATCATAATTATTATCCGAACACAAGGGCTGAGTTCTCGTTCGAGCAAAGCACTCCACGTAGTTGCTATCCGAGACGCTCCTAGTATGGGCACAACACTCATTGTCGGTTATTAATGAGATGTTAATGACAAACAATGCAATTTAGTTGTTTCTGGTTTTGTTAGTTGACAGTAACTAACTACGGTAGATGCTCTAGTTTTGAATCGCTTACTATTTTATGTAGAGTTTCGGAGTTTTTTAATATTATGATAAGGCATGGCCTATCCCGAATAGTTGGGATAAGAGTCAGATGATTATGATCATCTCATGGTAAGCCACAAAAGCAGCACGTTTAAGATTTGAATTTTAGCCTATGTACTACAATAAAAGTTTAGCATCCATATATTTCAATGCTACCGTTATAATTTCAAAGTTAGAGCATAAGACTTTGGCAAAAGCACATTCTAATTGATTATGAGCACTAACTGATTAATAGTGAACCAGTTTGGAATTAGGAGAAAGTCAGTACCCCTTAACCTCCAAAAACGTAAAATAGCTAGGGCATAGATGCCCACAGTTCTTGAGACCCTAAAAAAGAAAGAGTCTTTCACAGGGGAGATTTATCCACCTGGAATCCAGGTCCTCTCTTTCTGTCTCTACACACGAACGTACAAAATAGGAAAAAAAAAGATAAGCCTTGTCATTAAACATGTTTTCTCCCTCTAAGTAGGCATGGAAAAAAATAGGAGGAAAAAGATAAGTTTGCCATTACTCTCTTAAACATGTTTTCTCTCTCTAAGAAGGCGTGGGAAAAAATAGGAGGAAAAAGATAAGTATTGCAATTACTCTCTTGCTAAAACATGTTTTACCTCTCTAAGCACCCATGGGAAAAAAATAGGAGGAAAAATATAACTTTGTCAGTACTCTTCTAACTAAAACATGCATTCTCTTGTGCTAATCTAAAAATATTTGAATCCTCCTTCCAAACTATTCAAATCCCCACTCTCTCTCTCTAACTATATATGGTAGTATTTACAGTTCATTTCCTGGTGTTTAATGATGCTTATGTTTAGAGAGAGAATCTCAACTCTCGAGGTCCCACCCTGGTGGATTCAATTGCTCCAATTAATATGTTTACAGAGAGAAAAATGAATGGGTACAATGAAGAGAGACATACCGTGCTTGAAGGAGTTGGGAGCCATGGCCTCATTTTTATGGCAGCTTAATGTAGTTTTGGTACTTCTGGGTGGTGACCTCCAAACATAAATATCAATTCCAAACCTTTTCATTTCCTTTTTTTTAAGTGTCTCTCCTCCTTTTCGGCTCATGTAAAAAGGATTATTTTGAAAATCATATTACCACATTATGTGATATTGAAATACACTTTCTACATTAATATAGTATTGAATTTATGTTCCTCAATTCTTCGGGGTATGTTAACTTGGCAAAAGTGTGGAAAATAAAGTAGAGTTCTAAAAAACAGATATTGCGATGGGTCTAGTCCAAACAAAACACGTTTAACATCGGTCGAACTCCCTAGAGTGGATCTTAACAAATTATACAAAACTAAGATCGGAAACCTAAAAGAAAGGAGGCCTTATATAATAGACATTTCTTGTTTATTAACGAGTTTTATCACTAGCAATGGGTTGGGCCTAGGACCCTAAATGCCACGTCAGGACCATGCTAAAACGGCCCTTGCCCAAGCCCAACCTAGCCCTTGAGTAGGTTGGCTAACCTAGCCTAATTAATGTTATAGGACGTAGGGCTGAGATTGGGTTAGATCGGATCCAGATTTATCAGGATCCAGATTTGGATCTAAAAAATTTATATGGGATATGGATTCGGATCCAAAATATTCATATTCAGAACCAGATTCAAAAAGTATACATGGGATCCGGATCCAAATCTGGACTCGATCGGATCCAAAAAGTTATTTCATATCTACAAAACAATATACAACAAAAAATACTATATAACATTTATGTATGTATAAAATAATATATAATACTTTAATAGCTAGGTCGGATTCTGATCGGATCTACATGTACCCATAACTGATATGAATTACTATCGAATCCAAAGTTTTGATCCGGATCCGACCCATCGGATCCAAATCCTGAATCCATACCCAGATCCGGATAGGATCTAAACCAGGTAAATTCTCAACCCTAATAGGACGGCCAAGCTGTTTACGTATTAAAATTCATTCACATGCATAAAACAAGGGAAGGGCACAGCCGGCCAAGGCACCTAGGCCCAAGCTCCGCCCTGCAAAGCCATCAAGCTGATAGGCTCAGTCCTCGGGTCGAATGTAGTTGCTTGGGTCCAGGTTATTTTTGGTTGGACCGCCTAGCACATTACTACCCATGCTACTATACTACTAATTATCATTGAAAGTTGAAACAGTACACTATTATTGAAACAATAAACTAAATATCCTGATTGTCGTGTGGTAACCCCCGAATCTTTTGATGACAAAATAGTTTATCATGCTAACATGAAAATTATTTGTGAAATTTTTTTTCCTGAAGCAACTATCTATAGTTAAAAACAATCATGACCCATTTTTATTATATAAACATGTGCTTCATGCATTCTTCATAAACTGCCTGTCATATTACCAATGAAAAGAGTAAGGATGTAAAATACAAAGTTGCTTGTCAAGTAGATAATACCACAGACAAGTCTTTCGCTCTGATGGTGGAGATGGCTAATTATATTGTTTATGGTTCCCACGGTGAATGGCCCGTTAAGCATTGCAAAATTATACAACATATACCATAATTTCCTATGAGAAAAAGAAAATATAAATATGGATGTTTTATTATTTAGATTTTTTTTATATTGTTTTTTGGATAGTTTAGTGGTAGGAATCGAATTTGAGATGTAGGGTTGCTCAAATGCACTTATTAGATTTTCGAGTATTGTTGCCACTATAGATATTGTGACACTACTTAAAAGCTTGTTTTACATACTCTTTTCATTCTGCTGGGATAAATTGGGTGTCAAATTAACATACCAGCGATTCATACAAAACTTATCCAAGCAATAACTAAAATTTGCAGTAGGATGTGTGAGGTTCTCGTTCCAAAAAAGACATCCAAAATACCACGATGAGTTTCTAGTACCTAGATTTATAAGGCATCGTACTTCAACATCTTACACACGAACCCTAGCTAATCTATGCCAAGAAAAAAATATTTATAATGAAGCAATAATCAAAATAAACTGAAACAAAATAGTCTACCATTGCAATATAGGATTCTTTTGTCATTCTAAAATTTTGTAAAATCCAATAAAATAATATAATTATAAATTTAACCACATGTTGACACATATACAATAATTACTTTCAAAAAATATAGGAACAGATTCTAAGAAGAACTTGTATAGTTTATTTTAACGATAATGGAATAACTTGATCCTATTGAAAACAATTAAGATAGTAGAAATAAGAAATGTGTCAAAGACATAGGACTATGGGTCAAATAGATATTTCAGATATAAATTCAAATACTTCCCATTATTTGAAATTCATCATTTCCATGATTTGAAGAAAACGATATGTAGTCCTTGTGATGCCTGGGTTAAGAAAGCTAGGGATAGTGATAGGAGAAACATAAATTTATTAAAGATTTAGAGAAAAATGGAGGAAACAAAAAAATAATGTTAAGGATCGAAGTGAGTTGAAAAGAAATAAATCATAAATGGAAATGTTTGGTATATTATGTAAATCATTATTAAGTAATCATTAATGATTTACATATATTACATAATAATGGTTTATATTTCGTAATAAATATATTACATAAATATATTATGTAATATATTTCTTTTGCGTGATATAGTACGTAATATATTATTATGTACTATATGTAAATCATTACGTAAGAAATATATTACATAATATATTATGTAATATATTATGTAAATATTAGGTAATGATTTACATATATTACTTAATCATTATTACATAATACCGATTTACATATATTATGGAAATATGATGTAATATATTACGTAAATCATTATGTAAATTATGTAAAGATTTATGTAAATCATTTGAATTCATTATGTAAATTATTACGTAAATAAAATAATTATTACGTAAATCATAATAATTATCAAATAGAATTCTATTTACATAATGAATTGAATTCTAAAGTGATTTACGTAAATCATTTTGAATTCAAATAGAGAGGGTGTTTAGAATTCT